CTGGGATTACAGGTGTGAGCCATTGCACCTGGTCACTACCTCGTGATCCACCTACCTTGGCCTCCCCAAAGTGCTGAGATTACAGGTGTGAGCCACCATGCCTGGCTGGTAAAATGACTTTTTTAAACAACAGTTTCTGAAACACTTATTCTATTTTATAGAATGAAGTGTTGACCCATTTAAAAAAAATGAAAAAAATTTTTTTTATGTAAATAGTCCCTAGAAAGGGATCCTTATGACGGAGTTCAGTAAGCATACCTAAAATAACACTGATTCAAGAACAATGGTTTTAGGATATTAAAGTCTTATAATCTATACTAATAGAAGGCAGCAACAGGCACAGGGAATTAATTTTACACTTTAATAAAATACACCTTTTGATTAACAAATTTAAAAGTTAGACTTTGTTGCTTAGGATAATGTTAAAATCTGTTTGCTACTGCTGTATACACAATTATTTTAAGGAGTAGGATGGAGGCTCAGAAGCAGGCTAGGTGACAACAAAGAAACAATCTGGATTAAAAATTTGCACCGGAGTCACTTGCAAATAATCAAGAACTCAGGTGTGGAGTAGTGTCCTATAAAGGGTCATCTTCAATTTAGTTCACAGGACATTTATTGAGTACTTACTATGTAACAGACACTGTGCTAGGTGGTAGGTGAAAAAAGGGGCTCCTGAAGAACTACCAGTCTAGAGCTGTAGTGCTGTTCTTGTTCCTGAAAAAAGTAGTGTGACACACTAGCCAGGGGAAAATAAGTACCTAAAGTTTATTTTGTTAGCATGCTTTTAGCCTTATCAAATCATTCTTGCTCAAAAAGAAGATTGAATTAGGATCCCCTCAGGGCCTGGGAAAGACCAGAGCAGAGGCAAGGACTGGAGAGAAAATAACCTGGAATTCTGATGTCAAAGGAAAATTTTCAGTGTTTCACTTTACATTTTGGGGGCTTGATCTGTGGTGCAACTGTCCTGCTAAAATCCGGGCATATTTATTCCAGATGGAGAGCTGTTAATTGCAAGTCATGTTCTCACTAGCTACTCATGAACTTAATTTTACTTTTTTAAGTTTCTTCTTTGAAAAAGCAAACTTACTTCCGATCTAAAATGGTAATTGGTTCCAGATCTGTTTTGACTATTTGATTAGTCAAATCAATTTGACTAATTTAAGATATGTCTGCCTGTGAGCAGAGACTGTGCCACTGTACTCCAGCCTGGGCAACAGAGTGAGACTCTATCTCAAAAAATTAAAAAAAAGAAAAGATATATCTGCTTGATTATAATAATCAAGGGACAAAAGTTTCTTTCACCCATATTCATATATTTTGGTATTTATTACTCATGTTCTTATTGTGTTGGGTACTCATTTAACTGTTCATTTAGCTTTCTCAAATTGTAAAGATAGCTAAGATTATTGAACCCTTTTAATCCATTATATTCAATGAACCAGTAGAGTATGATATTTAATATCTGGTAATTACTTTATTCCCTGCCTTGTTTTGGTTTTGTTGATCTATTCATTCATTCCACAGTTGTTTACTGAGTGTCTATGCTGTGCCAGGCACTATTCTAGGTATTGGGTGTGTTACTTGCCCAAAGTAATATAAAACTAACAGGCAGATAGAACTATAAATTAGTTTCCTTATTCCTAAGTTTAAGATACAAAATTTTCTATTGAGAGTTAAAAATGCTATTTATGTTCCCAAGTGAAAAAGTATTAGAAATTTGAGTAAACCACCCAATATAAACTTTGTGGATAATTTTTATTTCTATTGTTTTTAAAGATAACATATTTCAAAGCTCAGGTATAAGAACTAAATGGATTTCATGAAAAGATACCATATTTAACATTAAGTTTTCATATATATTATTATTTTTTTTTTGAGACGGAGTTTCGCTCTTGTTAACCAGGCTGGAGTGCAATGGCGTGATCTCGGCTCACTGCAACCTCCGCCTCCTGGGTTCAGGCAATTCTCCTGCCTCAGCCTCCTGAGTAGCTGGGACTACAGGCACGCGCCACCATGCCCAGCTAATTTTTTGTAGTTTTAGTAGAGATGGGGTTTCACCATGTTGACCAGGATGGTCTTGATCTCTTGACCTCATGATCCACCCACCTCGGCCTCCCAAAGTGCTGGGATTACAGGCTTGAGCCACCGCGCCCGGCCTATATATTCTGTTTTTTGAACTCACTTACATTTTAAAGGTAATTCATCCAAAGTTTATTTGCAAATGTGTTTTGATTTTCTTCCATCATGTTTCCTCTATATATTTCATAATAAAATAGAAACATATTATATAACTTAAGAATTTAAGTATTCTTCCTGACCTATATATTTTTGGTGGATCAAATACAATTATCTTCTACTTCAGAATATAAATTTTATCTATTCTTCCTAAGTCATCACATCAGGGAGAGAAATGTATTGAAACACTCAGATTATCACAAGGTAGGTCTATGACAGCATGCCAAAAATAAAATTAAAATCCCAGTGAGTTATAGACCAGGGTTTTCTTTCTTGTTGGTTATGCCAGTAGTATCTTTCTTCTAATTCTGGGTGCCTATCTGAAAAGTCCTGGAGCAAGGATACAACTGAATTACTCTTCTTTTGTTCCCTATACCCATACAGTCCCAGGGGTAAAAGAAAGGAAAGTGCCAGACCTGTCAGCACTCATAATTGCTCCCTCTGAAAAGACAGCCCAGCAAAATATTTTTTACTCTTCAAATATATGATCACTTGCCCATGTTGAAAGGATACCAGCCAGCAATGCTGATCTCTTGGTAGATTTCTGCATCTGTCTGATATCTCTATTTTCCTCAAATTGTTCCCATGGCTTCCTGATAATCTGGGTCTTTTGCTGTCTCTCTGGTCCAGATGCATTGTCCACATAGCACACCAGCCATAGCTCCTATGGCCTTCCCCTTTTCCTTGAACACACAAATCTCTCTCTGTCTCAGTGCTCTTGTACTTGTTGCTTTCTGACTCATCCCCATCTCTTACCCCAGCTGGCTAGCTTCAATTTGTTTTTGAAATTTCTCCTTAAATGTCACCCCATCAGGTAGGCTTTCCTTATTCCTTGCTAGAGCAAGTCCTCCTCGTACCCAAAGCAAGTTTCTTTCTTTTTTGTTTTTTGAGACGGAGTCTCGTTCTGTCACCCAGGCTGGAGTGCAATGGCGCAATCTCAGCTCATTGCAACCTCCACCTCCTGGGTTCAAGCAATTCTCTTGCCTCAGCCTCCTGAGCAGCTGGGATTACATGTGCATGCCACCATGCCCGGCTATTTTTTGTATTTTTAGTAGAGACAGGGTTTTGCCATGTTGGCCAGGCTGATCTCAAACTCCTGACCTAGAGTGATCTACCTGCCTTGGCCTCCCAAAGGGCTGGATTACAGGTGTGAGCCATCACACCTGGGTACAAGTTTCATAATTACATATTATATATAGTTATTTCTGTGTTTACTTGCTTAATCTCCCCTGCAGATAATAAGCTCCATGCAGGTACAATGTCTGTTTCATTTCCTCTGTATCTGCAGGGTCTACCATATTTCCTGGCACGTAGTAAAGCCCCTCCCACCTCCAACGTATTTGTTGAATAAATAAGTTAACCGGTTCCAGAAAATAAACATGTATCCCCTACTATTCATGACCAAGCACCAACATATTTTTTCCTACCTATCCTCTTCTCCTTTTTCTTCTAAGAAAAAAAGTACAACAGACAGGAGTGAAAACAATTCTTAAACGTGCTCTCTTACTGGAGTTAGAATGTGATCACTGCCACTCATTAAAACAAGTACATACATTCCTTACATATATTTAATCATAATGTATTTCCACTTATGAATCATCATAGCCTTGTATGAAATGAGGATCTTTAATTGGAAGAGAATACAAAAATAAAAAACAGAATAATTAATTCAAAAGTCAGAATTTAAGGTTGGCTATGGTGGCTAATGCCTGTAACCCCAGGTATGGGAAGCCAAGGTGAAAGTACTGTTCGAGGCCAGGAGTTCAAGACCAGCTTCAACATAGTGAGACTCCCATCTCTACAAAAAAATTTTAAAAACTAGTCAGGTATGGAGGCACACACCAGTAGTCCTAATTAGTTGAGAGGCTGAGCGGGGAGAACGGCTTGAGCCAGGAGTTTGAGGTTATAATGCACTATGATCATACCACTGCACTCCAGCCTGGGTGACAGAAGGAGACCCTATCATGATGCTTTTGTCATTGTGCATCATGATAAAAAATAAAAAATATTTAAGCTGGTAGAGAGCTAGCCTTAGAAGAACTATAAATAATCAATCCAAGAAATGGTAGAAAAGAGTAGAAACAGGTTCTAAAACAAATAGTACGCTGGGAATAAAGATTAAGAAACATACTTTTTTTTTGAGAGTGAGTTTCGCTCTTGTCACCTGGGCTGGAGAGCAGTGGTGTGACATAGGCTCACTGCAACTTCTACATCCCTGGTTCAAGCAATTCTCCTGCCTCAGCCTCCCAAGTAGCTGGGATTACAGGCATGCACCACCATGCCTGGCTAATTTTATTTTTTGCATTTTTAGTAGAGATGGGCTTTCACCATGTTGGTCAGGCTGGTCTCGAACTCCTGACCTCATGATCTGCCCACCTTGGCCTCCCAAAGTGCTGGGATTACAGGCATGAGCCACCTCGCCTGGCTAAGAGAATACTTCTAAAAGGGAACAACCAACATGTTATGCTCAGGAAGGCTTGAAGGTCTACAGTATTAAGGTTATTGGTTTAGAGAAGGACTTAGCAAATTCTTCAACTTACTTATTGATGATGAAGGACATCAGAGAGATGAAGAAATAGGCACAGATGTAGCCTCTGTAATTCTTTGTTACTTTTTGACCGTAAGAAAACTGTCATGTGCTGAGTCTAGTCCCACTCTGCAGTTACAAAAAGGTAACGGGAACATCTGGAAGCTAAGTGACTTGAACTGGACTCACTAGGATTGACAAAGCCCAGCTTTGTGGAGGGTATCGTGAAACCTACCTTCTTGGGCACAACAGAGGAGCTGGAATTTATTGTGCTTTCATCATCATGCATCATGACAAGTTCAGAGCTGCTCTCGTCCGTGACCTCCTGCATGCTGTTCACACTGCTGCTCTGGCTGCCCGTGCTCACAGACATGCTTGGAATGGAATGGTTGCTGCCCAGGCTGTCCATTTCCCTCATCAGGTTGGTTCCATGTTCACTGTCCTATAAAAATGGGGCACTGAGGTTAGAAAAAGAGACTGGAGACAAAGAGCCAATCCATTGACTAAAGTATCAAGCACACTCAATTTTGCAGAGTGAAATTACTTTTCTGCGAATCTGCGAAGATGAACTTTTTCAATGTACTGGCTCCACTACTCCCTCACCATCTTCAGACATCTCAAATTCGCTTCCTATGCCTTCCCCAGGGGCTGTTCTGGACAAGGGTCATAAGGCTCCAAATGCTGCCATCCCAGGGCTTTCCCCTGTCATACACTACCATCATATTATCGTATTGCTATTCAGTAAGCAAAATCAAGCTAGGTTTGTAAGTGATCTTCTGGAACATCAAGGAGCTAGAGGAAGACTGCTGGCCACTAAAGAGGTGAGCTCTAGGATATCTGCAAATACAGCAGTGGTCACTTGAAAAAGTAAAGTGGAAAGAGTTTTCAGAGATTTGACAAGTAACATGCTCCCTCTGCAAGTCATTATTGAGTAACTTCATATCTAAGCAGGAATATTAATTCTACTGTCTTCGACAGGTAATTAAATTCTGCCTCCCTCAAGTAATTCTATCATGCTTATCTCTGTAATCTTATTAAATATATTTGTTAAATAATACTGGTTTTCATCACTACTGGCCCAAAGACTACGATTTGAAAAGTGGTAAAATAACCAGAACATATAATTTATCCACCACAGTGGGATATCTTTTGATATAAGATTGAATAATATAATTAAATCAATTTAGCTACAAATAAACCCTATTCTCAAACAACCATACTGTACACATATAACTTTAATAAACTCTTACTTAGCCATGGCAATATAAAAAATTACTGAGTAACATTAAATGGTGGATAATACGTTATATTTTTAACAGATTTATTTTCCAAATTAAAGGGGATCATTTCTATATATGCAATCAAGAAATTTTATAGTTCAATGCAACTTTCTGAGCTTTGTTTTTAGAATTATTGATAAAATATTTGTATGTTTATTTTAGTTTCTATGAAAAAGCTAAAATGCATTCATTCTTCATTCTTTTCTTCCTTTGTATTTCACTTTAGAGGAAGAAGAGTTCTTTCTCTTATTCAAGGCTAATTCTTCCACTAATACTCTTGTTCCTATTCTGTCTCTGTTCTGAAATCCTGCTTCTTTAACTCTATCTCTTTCTTCTATCTTCAGTGCATCTGACTCTGCCCTGGCTCCATCTCTACTACATTGAAAGATGAAGAAGCCTGCCTCATAGTTATGGACTTCTCTACATGCTGCCTTCTCTTACTTTTCCTTCTTAACCCAATTTCTGAATCTTAAAATAATTACTTTTTTTGCTGTCTCCACCTAATCAACTCCCATGAATTATACAAACCTAGTAATCTACTATTCATTCTACCTAGTCCTGTACAACTGCTTGTACTAAGGTCATCAAGGATTCTCTAATTGAAAACTTCCATCTGTATACTATGGTAAGAATATATAATACCAGGACCTTAAACTCAAAAGGCACCAAAGTGAAATTATCCTAAACCTACTCTCCCTGATTCTTTTTCTCTGTTCTTGGTATTGACGTATTCCTAGCCACCCAGGCTCAAATGTTCAGAGTCACCTTAAATTCCTCCTCATCTGTCACTGTCAATCAATGAGAAGCCATGGATTATCAAACCTGTCCCTACAACGTTTCTCAAAAGTATTCCCTTTTTCCCCATTCGCATCAACACTGCCCTTATTACCTTTTGCATGGACGATTAGCCAGGATGTTGCCCATTCAAATCCATATTACACTCTGTTGCCAGGATAATCTTCCTAAAGCACAACACCTTTCTGAGTCTAGAATATCTTACTATGCCCATTTGTCAGGAACCACCCACATCATGTCCTCCATGTAACCTTCACTAATCCCCACCAGTAGACTTACTTTCTCCCCACGATGGACTCCTGCAATGGGGCTACACCTCTGTAGCACTTTTCATATTCTGCCTTATATAAGTGTTATTTTATGAATGTCTCTTGTACAACGCTTCATGTCTCTTAAGGCAGACAGCATCAATTACTTTTTATCCTCAAAAGTTTTTCACAGTGCCCAGTCCAGGACTTTTTCACATAGTGGGCATTCTATAAGTCCCTGCTAAAATAAATTGAACCTACTTCCTCATCCTCCTGTGACTCATTCAAGGGTCCATTTCGTGTCTCTTGGAAAAGTATTTTTTTCATTTTTCGGTACTGTAGGTTATCCAGCTCACGAACAGCATCTTTTGTCCTCTGTATGAGGTCAATGAGGACACGTAGTGGCCGGTCTCGTCGAACAAAGTCATGCTGATTGAGGGAGGAGAAAAAAATAAACTGATAATGAAGAAACATCCTTAGGTGCAAGGTACAGATATAAAAGGAAATAGAGAATCATAAAATAGTTCTATGGATTTTACAGAAATAACAAAATATGATTTTCACGTCATGTATCCTTCCATATTCCATAAATCTCAAAAAGAGATAACCATGCTTTTTTCTTCTTCCTTAAGCCCCACTTTGTGGATGTGAGAATTCTTTTTAAAAATTGTACACATTTAAAGTATATGGCAAGATGTTTTGATACATATATATATATATATATATATATAGTGAAATGATTTCTACAGTTAAGCAAATTAACATATCCATTATCTCACATAGTTACTTTTTGGTGGCAAAAGTACCAAAAATCTTTAGTCTTAGCAAATTTCCCAGATATAATACAATATTACCAACCATAATCCCCATTCTGTACACTGGATCTCTACATTTATTTATCCCACAGAACTGAAACTTTGTACCATCTGACCTTTATCTTTCCATTCCCCATCCCTTTCAACCACCTTTTGTTCTGTTTTATTCTTTTGTTTAGTTTCCACATATAAGTGAGACTGTATATTATTTTTCTGTCTGCGTCTGGTTTATCTCACTTAGCGTAATGTCTTCTGGGTTCACCTGTATTGCTGCAAATGGCAGGACTTCCTTCTTTTTTAAGACTATATATATATATAATAAATATTATACATAAATAAATAACATATATTATTCAGTCTTAAATACACATATTATTCAGTCTTAAGTATATATATCACATATACCATAATTTCTTTTATCCTTTCATCCACTGATGAACACATAGGCTGTTTCCTTATTTTGGCTATTGTGAATAATGCTGTGATGAACATAGGGGCGCAGATATTTTTGTGAGGTGCTGACTTCATTTTCTTCAGGTATATAACCAGCAGTGGGATTATGGGAACTAATAACATATATTTTTTTAGGTTTCTGAAGAAACTCCGTATTGTTTTCCACAATGGCAACACCAATCTACATTTCCACCAACAGTGTATAAGGATTCCCTTTTCTCTATTCCCTTGTCACTTATCTCTGACCTTTTTTGATAATAGCCATTCAAACAGGTGGGAGGTGATAACCCATTGTGGTTTTGATTTCCATTTCCCTAATGATTAGTGAATGCTGAGTATCTTTTCATATGAGAATTCTTGAGGTTTACTTATCATAGAAGTAATACAAAATCACTAGAACTTTAAGAAGCAGCAGGTAGGCTTGCACATTTTAAATCTGAAACTATATAATAAACAAAAGCAAGGCAGAGTATAGTCTATTCTTTTTTTTTTTTTCTTGAGATGGAGTCTTGCTGTGTCACCTAGGCTGGAGTGCAGTGGTGTGATCTTGGCTCACTGCAACCTCTGCCTCCCGGGTTCAAGCGATTCTCCTGACTCAGTCTCCTGAGTAGCTGGGATTTCAGGCATGTACTACCATGCGTGGCTAATTTTTGTGTTTTTAGTAGAGACGAAGTTTCACCATGTTGCCCAGGCTGGTCTTAAACTCCTGACCTCAAGTGATCCACCTACCTCAGCCTGCCAAAGTGCTGGGATTATAGACGTGAGCCACTGCACCACAATTTAGTCTGTTCTTATTATAGCTTTCCTCAATCCTCACCCCCCATACACATTATCCCTTGAGAAACAGACTTGTGAATATTTTGTTTTCTATTTCTATGGTTACATAGTATACGCCTGAAAATATGCCAGCTTTTTAATTCATCCGGAGGTCAAAATTCTGGCAACTCCATTTTCCCAATAAGAAAAAGGGTCTCTGAGGAGAGTGAAAATAACTGCCCTAAAGTCCATAAATTCTTGATATAAACATCCCTCACTTTCAATATTATTAATGATTGTTATATAATCTGGTTTCCTGGTTTCTCAGCCCATAGCAGGTTAGAGAGAGAACAAGAGTGGAGAAGTAAAGGGCTGAGAACTGGGAGAGGTAGGGTTACCACCCGTTGTAAAAGGAAGTATCTCTTGTAAGTTGTCTGACAGCCTGAGAGTAGAGAAAGAGAGCAACTTCATGACTAACAGACCTGTCAACCAAACAAATTATAATAAAACAGAGGCTTGTGGGCTATTTTGCCCCTTATACATAGCCCCTTTTATATAATAAGAGTTCATAAAACAGTGTCTCTGAGCCCTCAAGAAGTGACATTGGACTGGGGGTGGTGGCTCACGCCTATAATCCCAGCCCTTTTGGAGGCCGAGGCAGGCAGATCATTGAGGTCAGAAGTTCGAGACCAGCCTGGCCAACACGGTGAAACCCCATTTCTACTAAAAATACAAAAAATTAGCTGGGCATTGTGGTGCATGCCTGTAATCCCAGCTACTTGGGAGGCTGAAGCAGGAGAATCACTTGAACCTGGGAGCCTGAGGGTGCAGTGAGCTGAGACTGCGCTACAGCACTCCAGCATGAGTGACAGAAAGGGGGGAAAAAGTGAAAGGAGGAAACTTTTTTTTTTAAGGAAAAAGTTCAGTTATGTGGAAAATTTACTTATGTAAAATTATAATTTGAAGACATTGGGAAAATGAGATATAATGTAGTAGGCCTTAGCTGATGAAATGAATTTAATTTCTTTATAATTTAAACAGATAAAAAATAATAGAGCTCTTGTGAGAAAACAATCTATATGTCTTGTGGTTCTGTATTCTGACTCTGCTGTTAGAGGAACTGTGGTTTTTGCTATGGCTTTTATAAAATACCTCTTCCTAGGCAAAGAGTCCTTTCTGAATAAAAAGCACCATTACCAGAAGCAAGTGTAGCCTGCACATGTCAAGGATGAGAAAGAAAGGAAGAAAATACATAATTTTCCTCCCCCAGTGCTTACAATTATACAAGAGCTAATTGGTTTTTAGTAAACTTAAACCTATGACTTAACATCGTAGAATTTTAAAATGGGAATGCTTCTAAGAAAATTTTCTGTTTCAAGGCTGAGCATGGTAGCTCATGCCTGTAATCCCAGCACTTTCGGAGGCCAACTCGGACAGATCACCTGAGGCTAGGAATTCAAGAGCTGCCTGGCCAACATGTTGAAACCCCGTCTCTATTAAAAATACCAAAATTAGGGGCTGGGTGCAGTGGCTCTCGCCTGTAATCCCAGTATTTGGCGAGGCCAAGGTAGGTGAATCATTTGAGGCCAGGAGTTCACGACTAGCCTGGCCAACATGGTGAAACTCCGTCTCTACTAAAATTACAAAAATTCGCTGGGCGTGTTGGCGTGTGACTGTAGTCCCAGCCACTTAGGAGGCTGAGGCAGGACAAGTGCTTGAACTTGGGAGGTGGAGGCAGTAGTGAGCTGAGATTGTGCCACTGCACTCCAGCCTAGGTGACAGAATGAGACTCTGTTTTTTAAAATAAATAAATAAAAAAAAATAAAAATACCAAAATTAGCCAGGTGTGGTAATGCCTGCCTGTAGTTCCAGGTACGTGGGAGGCTGAGGCATGAGAATCACTTGAGCCTGGGAGGTGGGTGTTGCAGTGAGCCAAAATCAGGCCACTGCACTCCAGCCTGGGTGACACAGAAAGACTCAAAAAAAAAAAAAATTTTTTTTTCTTTTTCAAAGTGAGGAAACTTAGGCCCTGAGAAGTCAGGTAATTTCAACAGCTAATTAGTGGAAGAGCTATGGCTGCAACTCAGGCTTTAAAATTTTTTTTCTGCAGGGGTGGGGTGGTGGTGGTGGTGGTGGTGGTAGTTATTTTCTTGTGTCCTACTACCATAATTATCTTTCTAAAATACAGGTATGATCATGTCATTCATCATTCACTGCAACAGATACTATGTGCCACTAATCCCCCATTCCAACTTAAAATTTTTTTTTTTTTGAGATGGAATCTCACCCTATCACCTAGGCTGGAGTGCAGTGGCGCAATCTTGGCTTGCTACAACCTCTGCCTCCTAGGTTCAAGCGTCAACCTCAGCCTCCCCAGTAGGGGCAACCTCAGCCTCCCCAGTAGCTGGGATTACAGGTGTGTGCCACCACACCTGGCTACTTTTTGTATTTTTAGTAGAGACAGGGTTTCACTATGTTGGCCAGGCTGGTCTTGAACGCCTGACCTTAGGTGATCCACCCACCTTGGCCTTCCAAAGTGCTGGGATTACAGGCATGAGCCACCACTTTCAGCCCCAACTTTTTTCTTCTTTTATTAAGTCTCTGTTGCCAAAGCTAGAGTGTAGTGATGCAATCTTGGCTCACTGCAACCTCCACCTCCTGGGTTCAAGTTATTCTCCTGCCTCAGCCTCCTGGGTAGCTGGGACTACAGGCATGCGCCACCATGCCTGGTTAATTTTTGTATTTTTAGTAGAGATGGGGTTTCACTGTGTTGGTCAGGCTGGTCTTGATCTCCTGACCTCGTGATCTGCCCGCCTCCACCTCCCAAAGTGCTGGGATTACAGGTGTGAGCCACTGTGCCCGGCCTTTTTTGCCTTAATTTAAGCACTGGAGAGTAAAGGAATTGAGCCCAAACCTTCTTTGTGGTTACAAATCACAAAGTGACTAAGTTCTGGCCAATGAGAGGTAGGCAGAAGTTCTTGAGGAAGGCTTTATTCCCAGAATAAAAAGCAAGACACAGGAGGAGAAGGTGTTTTACCCTCCATTCTCTCCCCTTCTTCCTGGCTGGAATAAATGAGTCTTGGCAATGTGGCAGCCATTTTATGACAAAGACGATATAAGCTACATGCTAAGGATGGTGAAGTAGAAAGAGCGAGCTTGGGGGCTGGGCACGGTGGCTCAGGCCTGTAATTCCAGCACTTTTGGAGGCTGAGATGGGTGGATCACAAGTTCAGGAGTTCAAGACCAGCCTGGCCAAGATGGTGAAACCCCGTCTCTACTAACAATACAAAAAAATTAGCCAGGCGTGGTGGTGGGCGCCTGTAATCCCAGCTCCTCGGAAGGCTGAGGCAGAGAATTGCTTGAACCCAGCGGAGGTTGCAGTGAGTCGAGATCATGCCATTGCACTCTAGCCTGGCGACAGGGCAAGACTCCATCTCAAAAACAAAAAAAAAAATAGCTTGAGTCAATGATGACATTTTGGAACTGCTTAGAGCTTTGTACTGCTTACTCCACCTCTTTTACAGTGTCCTAGACTTCCTATTACATGAGATAAACTCTTACCTGTTTAAGCCTTTTACAAACAGATACACTCAACATCTTAATGTCTCACTGTCTCTTAAAGTGTAGCTTTTTACAGCCAGGTTCCTGCTTGTATGTCTAGGATTAAATCTGGTCATTGCTACTCCTCCTTTCTATGCAATAGTACATTCTAGGTAATTCTAAACCCAAGAATACCTTTTACATATCTATGCCTTTGCCTTCACATCTCCATGTTCTCTCTGCCTGCAATTCCATCTCCTTGTCGTTTTTCAAAGCCCACTGTTCTCCAAACCCTTACAACTGGAATGTCCTCAGACTCTTTTAAAAGAACAATTTTATTGTTCTCAAAAATACATTTACTTTCAACATTCAAACAACACAGAAAAATGCATAAAAAAAGAAAATCACCCCAAATTCTACCATCTCAAAATAAATACATAAATATTGTTAGGTTACAGAATATCATTTTAGACATGCCTCTCTCTTTCTCTCTTTCTCTCAGAACAATGAATATCTAGAAATCATTTTACATGGGAATCTTATTATACAAGCTAATTTTAAGTATAAGCAATTGAATTAAGGTATACTTGAATTTAACAAAATTAGAAAAGACTGAATTAAAACGATTGCATAGGCTGGGCGTGATGGCTCATGCCTGTAATCCCAGCACTTTGGGAGGTCCAGCGGGTGGATTACTTGAGGTCAGGAGTTTGAGACCAGCCTGGCCAACAGGGTAAAACTCTGTGTCTACTAAAAATAGAAAAACTAGCCAGACATGATGGCGTGTGTCTATAATCCCAGCTGGTCAGGAGGCTAAGGCAAGAGAATTGCTTGAACCTGGGAGGCAGAGGTTGCAGTGAGCCAAGATCATGCCACTGCACTCCAGCCTGGGCAACAAAGCGAGACTCTGTCACACACAGAAAAATAAAAATAAAACAATTGCTTAATTTTAGTTGTAATTTCTTCACCAAAAGAGTTATCTGTTCCTAAAAGATCCTCTAAAGCTAAAAAAAATTATTAAAGTCTTTACAAGACTGAAGTTACTTTAGTTCTTTTGTCTATATATTTTAAGCAATATTATTATCTACTCTGAAAGATAAGGAAATTAGTATGCATATGTTTTTCCTGTTCCTAGATTTTTCTAATTACATTATTTTTACATTGCAAATGTTTATAATATTTACATCTGTCCTTTAACCATTTTGATAATTTCACTTCAGTTGTTTATTTAAATGGATTAAATGTAAAAGTAATGTTTTAATGTCAGGGCAAAACTGTGTGGAAAAGATGGATTATTGAAAAATATTTGGGAATAGCTAGATAGCTTAACTAGGGGGAAAAAGGGTAGATTTTTTACCTTACTCCTTATAACAAATTTTTGCATAACTCTTCCCACCAGCATAAAGAATGTCAAAATGGAAACAGGAAAAAATAAAATTCAAGATCTACTATAAATTAAAAAGGAAATAGAAATGGCTTTTCAACATATGAGAGAGATGTTCAACATCTCCCATAATGAGAAATACTAATTAAAACTATAGTGAGAAAAGTTTTCACTGATTTGACTAACAAAGTTCAAAAAGTATCAGTCTTCATATTTTCACAGTGGGACTATAAATTGGTACAACTGTTTTGAAGGACAAATGGGCAATATATATCTCAATTTAAAATCCACATTGATGAGCAATTCCACTTCTAGGAATTTATTCTTTAGATAGTTTTATACAGGTACAAAATGACGTATACACAAGGATATTCACTGCGGCACAGTCTGTAATAGCAAAAGATTGGAAACATCCTAAATGGGTTGGTTAAACAAATTATGGTCCATCTGAGAATATTATGGAGCCATTAAAAAGAATGAGGTAGCTTCGCATGTAGTAATACAAAACAATATCCTAAGCATACTGTAAAGTAAAAAGAAAAATCAGGGTGGAATGGCTTTTATGGTTTGCTGCCATTTGTACAAAAATAAAAACAATATTTACTTTTGTATGCATAAAATATCTCTAGAAGGAGAGGCACAAAATAGGTGCAGTGGTTGCTAGTGAGGTGCCCAGAATGGAAAGGAGATTTATTTTTCATGTTCTACCTTCTCTTCTTATTTTTGAGATGGAGTCTCGCTCTGTTGCACAGGCTGGAGTGCAGGAGGATGATCTTGGCTCACTGCAACCTCCCAGGTTCAAGCAATTCTCCTGTTCAGCCTCCCAAGTAGCTGGGACTACAGGTGTGAACCACCATACCTGACTAATATTTGTATTTTTAGTAGAAATGGAGTTTCCCCATGTTGGCCAGGCTGGATTACAGGCGTAATTTCTTCTTTTTCTTCTTCTTTTTTTTTTTTTGAGACAGTTTCATCCCAGTCACCCAGGCTGGAGTGCAATGGCAGGATCTCACCTCACTGCAACCTCTGCCTCCCAGGCTCAAGCGATTCTCCTGCCTCAGCCTCTCAAGTAGCTGGGACTACAGGCGCATGGCACTGCACCTGGCTAACTTTTGTATTTTTTTGTAGAGATGGGGGTTTCATCATGTTGTCCAGGCTGGTCTTAAATACTTAGGCTCAAGTGATCTGCCTGCCTCGGCCTCCCAAAGTGCTGGGATTACAGGTATGAGGCACCGTGGTCATGTTCTACCTTCTACTATATTTTTATAGTATAGTTCTATCTTCTACTATATTTTTCCTTTTGGAAATTTGTATGACCTATTCCAAATGAAGAACATACAGCTTCTTTAGCCATGCAAAATAAATAAATATTTTTTTTTGGGGGGGTCTTTAAATTCAGTGTTTACCTCCAGCCCTTTTACCAGTTTGTCCAGTCCCTCATTCATTCTTCCTGCCTGCCTTTCTCCCTCTTTTTCTTCTTTTTGCTTCATCTCTAGATTGGCTGGATTCTGTACTGAGCAATTTTTAAAAGGAAAGCTCCGAACGGCTGCATTGCCTAAATTTGTGGGGCTTGAAGATGTCAGCTGCCGTTATAATTTAAGAATACCTTGGCTGGCTCACAATTCTTGGCTTATGTTTTCTTTCCCTGAGAACGCAGCAAACGTTGTTCTATTGTTTTCTGTCTTTGACTGTTCCTGAAGAGGTAGGTCTGGAGCCAGCTGTTTTTTCCACCCCAAAACAAACTTTTCAGTCTGTTTGTATGAACCTTTCAGGGACTTCACCAGGGACATGATTTACTGTTCAACAAAGATCAGTTTCATGGCCCCCACTCTTCAGGGATCTGCTTAAACGTCACCTTGAATGGCCTTCTCCTTACCTAAAACAGCAGCACCTGTCAATCTTGATGCTTGTCTAATTTATTTTTCTGCACAATACTTACCATCAACTGGCACTATAACATATATTTCTTTCTTTTTTTTTTTTTTGAGATGGAGTCTCGCTCTGTCACCTAGGCTGGAGTGCTGTGCCGTGATCTTGGCTCACTGCAACCTCCACCTCCTGGGTTCAAGCGATTCTCCTGCCTCAGCCTTGAGAGTAGCTGGGATTACAGGCATCTGCCACCATGCCTGGCTAATTTTTGTATTTTTAGTAGAGACAGGGTTTCACCATGTTGGCCAGGATGGTCTCGAACTCCTGACCTCATGATCCACTTGCCTCAGCCTCCCAAAGTGCTGGGATTATAGGCATAAGCCACTGCACCCAGCCTATTTATTTATTTTCTTACCACTTCTTCTAAATTTCACAAAGGCAGGGACTATGTTTTTTACTGTGCGCTACTGTATTCTTGTGCTTAGAGTAGTGCTTGACATCCAGTAGACAATCAGTAAATATTCGTTCAATAAATAGTTGGTCCATTTGATTTGGTCCATTAAATAAAGACCAAATCAAATAAGAGAAAGATCCAGACATTTATTTCCAGAAAAGTTTTCTTCAGGGATATCTTTAAATATCTTCTCTCCATGAGTTTTGTTTTCTTTTTCAGGAATAATAGGTTGGCATATATTAGATTTCCTAGGTCTTCCAAATGTATCATTTTCTTTATACTCATCTTTAGAACTTTTATTTTTTGCACTTAACTCTACTTTATTTACTTAAGCTTATTCACCACTGGAAACATCCTAAATGGGTTGGTTTACTATATGTTCATTGCTTATGATTTTTTGAACTGTTATGTTTTTTCTCTTCCATTTCTTTCTTTACCTTTACCCATTTGCTTTTTATATTTTTTTGTTGTTTGCAACCCTTAACTTTAACAAAGCCCAAATTTATTCACTTATTTCCATTTTTTGTTTAAACAGATGGCGTTTTCACTCTGTTGCTCAGGCTGGAGTGCAGTGGCACAGTCATACCTCATTATAACCTCAAAATCCTGGGCACATGTGATCCTCTTGCCTCAGCCTCCTGAAATCCTGAGATTTTAGGCATGAGCCACCATACCCAGCTCCACATTTTTTCCCCTTTTATGGTAGTAACTTTTATGTCCTTGTTTTTTGTTTGTTTTTAAGATCTTGGTCTACTTCAAAGTAATAAAGATATTATTCTGTGTTTCTAGTGTTTTGTTCTGATTGCCATTTTCCCCTAAGAAACATGAAATTGTTGCTAAGGTATACAAAATAGTTCATGTTTAAAACATGTAAGGGCTCCACAACAAAGGAGAACAAGACCAAGCCCTTTGTCCTGTTGCGTCTCTTCTTACCATCCTCCTGTGGCCTACTGTTCACAGGAAAGAAAAAACTTACTTGTCACCTAGTCAAGGTGTTCTTCAATTATAAAGGCAGACATTTTTAAGCTTTACAAATTGAGGCAATACAACTCTTCTGAGTTCTTCTTAAAAACAAGCAAACAAGTCACTGTTGTCACAGTGGTAATGACAGGGCTATGTCATTATCTATCCACCAACAGTAAGAGAAGCTTTGCAGTCAAGATATTGTTTAGCTGATGGAGTGTTTTCTGCTGGACACTAAGTACTGCTACAAGTTTAAAAGGAAAAGAAAAAAAAAAAAACAAGCAAACAAAACTGCTCCACAACAAAAGCCAGCCATTCTAGAGAAGGAAGAAACAAAAAGGGTTGAAAAACATACATGCAAAAAAGGATTAAAGAAATCTGGACCATTGTGTGCCAAATAAGAAAACACTTCTCCTGTAAAAGATTTCTACGTACATACTACACTGATATCGATGCAACACACTGCCTGTGTATAAAGTCTACAGTAAAATATTACATGAAAAGAGATGCTCAGAAATGTGATAGTTAAATAAATGTGGTTAACATGATACTCTTATCACTAACATGTCATAATACTATGTAAATGTCTATTCTATATAGTTATCATATACCTTCACTGCCCGAGGATTTGGCAACAACCTAACTGAAAATCCCAGAGCTGATGTTTGAACCACCGGCCAGCTCTGTCCTGAGACCACTGGATTAATGTTTATGCAGATATTAGGCCCAGGAACATCACAATGATGACTTGAGTAAGGAGGAGAAATATTTGTCATAAGGCAAAAAAGGAACAGGGAGGGAGGGGAAAAATGGAAAAGATAGGGCCAAAACTATCCACAGGGAATGCATAGCACATACATTGCAATAATCTTGCTATTTCTATGCCTAGCTACTTATCTCTGGATAAATGACAAGGCAGCACGTTCTAAACTACTTTGTCATGATGAGCTGCCACAGGAAGGATTTATTATATTCCACTATAACATGACTTTAAATCCCCCTCCTCAAATATAAATTTGAAAAATTACCCTTAATAGTTCTGCTGATGTTGGCCTTTCCTGAGGTATTTTCTGCAAGCAGTAATCAACAAATCTCCTAAAGGAGTCTGTCCTGTGTATGCAAATACACAAAAGAAAATAAACTCAGGGTCTGTAGAGCACATTGATTACTTAAAACAATTTTCATTAAAGGGAAAATTTTGCATTTTAGGAGATTTTAAAAAATAAAACGCTTTGGAATATCAGGAGAACTGGACCATTTTCAAGTTTTGATATCTAAAATTAATTCTTTTGGATAAGTGAGGACACAGTTTCAAATTAATCAACATATAAACACATCTTAATACGTAAGTAAGGTCAAATCATAATATATATCAGAAAACAAAAATACTATGTTTATATAAAATAGTTTTATATGGCTGGGTGCGAGGGGCTCACATCTGTAATCCCAGCACTCTGGGAGGCCGAGGCAGGCGGATCACCTGAGGTCGGGAGTTTGAGACCAGCCTGACCAACATGCGGAAACCCCGTCTCTACTAAAAATACAAAATTAGCTGGGCGTGGTGGTATGCCTGTAATTCCAGCTACTCAGGAGGCTGGGGCAGGAGAAACGCTTGAACCCAGGAGGCGGAGGTTGCAGTGAGCCAAGATTGCACCATTGCACTCCAGACTGGGCAACAAGAGCAAAACTCCATCTCAAAAAAAGTTTTATATACATTTTTCTCTCCAAAGACAACAATTCACAGAGTCTCAACTCTATATTCTTAATTACCAATTGTTAACTCCTCTACTACCCACAATCCAAAATGAAGTAGTTAAATTTGAAGCACGAGGGATGGATAACCTAAGAATAGGCTTCCTGAATAAAAATACTTCCTATCTTAAAAGTTCTGTTTAACCTACTCTTCTTTAATATTACCCCTTTTAAGATAACTCTTGTAGCCCAAATAGTTATAAAAGTATCATAATTTTCAGCAAGGAACAATGCTTCTGAATAGATAGTATATGTTCTATCTCAACACATTTAAGTACACATACAGTTTTAAAAAAAAAAGACAACTGGAAAAATAATGATGTCATAGAAGGCCCCTTATCTCTGCAGAAAAGTGATATCAGCTGAGATGATCAATGCAAGACCATTAGGACTTGGGACAGTAGACTTGTTAGGAGGGTAGCAGGGCATGTTCCCTGCAGGATTTCAGTTACTAGACACATTTAGAACACAGTGGAAGCCATGGTGAAGGCAGAAATAAGTAAATCTATATGTGTGGGCATGTACAGACATCGGATGCTTGTGAGGCATCAGTGTCACTTACAACAACATACAGTGAAGGAATGAAATGCTTTCTAGGTCAGATATTTAAAATGTAATTTAATAAAAATGCCAAATACATATGGTGATTTTCCTAGAGATTTAAAATGATAGCAGAGTCTTACCATTCATTAGACTGTAACGTTGGGGAGTCATTCTGGGCAATGTGATATAAGGCACTCATTGCATTCATATTGAAAAGGGGGGGCTTCCGTTCCGCTGGAAGAGGAAAGAAACACGATAAAGCAGTTCTTGAAGGAAATCAGGCAGACAAAAATAAGAAACTATAAGCAGAGCTTTGCTGCTAAATCAATAGCTCATTACTGTCATCATGCCACATAATCCACTTATTTTAATCTCTAAGGTTGGCCCAAGATAGCCATTCAGAAGCTGCTGGACATTAAATGTACTTTGGCAAAGATACTAACAGAGCCCATTTCAAAAGAGTGAATAGAAATTTTTTTTTCACATATCTTTAAAAAAAGTGGCTTTCACATATTTTCCCACAATAGGTGTGAAGATTTTTGCATGTGCGTTTTAGCTTAAAAATATATATTCTCTTCTTGAAGTCTGAGTATTTGGTGAAAAAGAAAAAGAAAAAAATTCATATTCACTTAAAAAATTCTGAAAGCAAAGGAGAATAAGAAAAAAAGATTACTATAAAATGCAACATCTTAAACATTATTAACAGAGTATGGGAGACAAGCCAATTCTATTCAGTAAATACTGTTTGATGGCTCATTCAGGCTAAATAATTGCCAGGGGTGATGGCAGAAAGAGGAATGGAAGGGAGGAAGAGGAGTATAAATTATAAAGAAAGTCTGGTCTATCCCATTCTAAAGAGAAACTCAGTGAGTAAGGCATATATTTTTAATTATTTATTTTTGGAGATGGGGACTTGCTCTGTTGCCCAGACTGGAGCACAGTGGTACAATCATGGCTCACATAGCCTTGACCTTCTAGGCTCATGAGATCCTCAGTCTCTTGAGTAGCTGAGACTATAGGTGTGCACCACCATGCTGGGCTAGTTTAAACAACTGTTTTTGTGCAGAGGCTGGGCACAGTGGCTCACTCTTGTAATCCCAACATTTTGGGAGGCCAAGATGGGTGGATCACATGAGGTCAGGAGTTCAAGACCAGCCTGGTCAACATGGTGAAACTTGTCTCTAATAAAAATACATTAGCCGGGCATGTTGGTGCAAGCCTGTAGTCCCAGCTACTTGGGAAGTTGAGGCCAGGAGGTGGAGGTTGCAGTGGGCTGAGATGGCACCCCTGCACTCTAGCCTGGGTGACAGAGTGAGACCCCATCTTGAACCAGGCTGGTCTTGAACTCCTGGGCTCAAGCTATCCTCCTGCCTCAGCCTCCCAAAGTGCTCGGATTATAGGCATGAGGCACTGTATGTGGCCAGGTTTTTCTTAGTAGAGGATATACTCCTTCCCAGCCCACCATGATCTCTTTATTGGCATACTGGTCATTTGGCATGTGCTCACCTGTTATATCTACATAATCATACAAATCTTTTCTCTCAAAAGAAATCATATGCTCTAAGAGAGCAAGATCTTACAACTCAAATATTCTTTTTCTTTTACTTATTCCCCCAGAATTTGTAATAAAATGCCATTCACATATTACGGGCTCCATTTGTGGATCAAAGGAAAGAAACAGGCTCTAGTTCTGAGAACAGTTAATTTTATGCTATTTATTAGTTGTTATGGCATAGAAGATAAATCCCCATCTCTTTCTACTGTGCTTACCGTAATGGATTTTTTAAATAGTACCACTTTCTAATTCATAATCTGATCTCTAGTTTTATTAGAGCACCTTAGTTTTTAAGTAAAGGCTTTTCTATTAACCACTTCTAAAATGACAAATTGGGCTTATTCTACGCAGTCCTAAGATAGAGAACAAGGCTAAGAAGTGAAGTTATGGAAAAAACATTTTCACTCATAGAAGGAAGAATTTGTGCACAGCCAGAGTAGTTAAAAAACAAAACAAAAAAAAAACCAGAATGAACAAGATTGAAAAAGTAGTAAACTTTAAGTCATTTGTAGCACTTAAGCAGACGACAACTCTACCTATTCATTTGTTGTATTTTGGAGGGGCATCTTATAGTCTTGACTAAGTGATTTCTGTACCTCTGAAACATAGTATTCTAGGCCAGGCATCATGGCTCATGCCTATAATCTTAGCACTTTGGGAGACTGAGGCCGGTGGATCACCTGAAGTCAGGAGTTCAAGACCAGCCTGGCCAACATGGTGAAACCCCGTCTTGAATAAAAATGTAAAAGTTAGCCAGGCATGGTGGCATGCACCTGTAATCCCAGCTACTCGGGAGGCTGAGGCAGGAGAATCACTTGATCCCGGGAGGCAGAGGTTGCAGTGAGCTGAGATCATGCAACTATACTCCAGCCTGAGTGACAGAGCAAGACTTCATCTCAAAAAAAAAAAAAAAAAAAAAAGAAAAGAAAAAAATCCAAAGCCAATTTGAGTGTGCTTCACTCAAAGAACCAAGCTCAGTATTCTTCACAAATGCTGCTTTCTTGGTCTAGACACCCCTCTCCCTTTTGCTCACTAAACTTTATCTGTTTTTGTTTTGTTTTGTTTTGTTTGTGTGTGTGTGTGTGTGTGTGTGTGTGTGTGTGTGTGTGTCAGGGTCTGGCTCTGTTGTCCAGGCTGGAGTGCAGTGGCATGATCAGCTCACTGTAACCTCAAACTCCTGGGCTCAAATGATCCTCCTCCCTTAGCCTCCCAAAGTGCCGGTATTACAGGCTAATTCTTGACAATATTTCAGGTCTTATCTCAAATATAATTTCATTTTTACATTAACTTAATAAGTATTTATTCAGGGTTTATTATATGTTTATAATCACTTCCTCAGGGAAACCTTCCCTGACCTCTCAGACTAGGTCTCCTATTAGATTTTGTCACTGCAAATTATATTTTCTCCTTTCTTCCACATATCAAAACCCCAATTGTTTGTATAATTTTTTTTTTTTTTTTGAGACAGGTTGTCATTCTGTTACCCAGGCTGGAGTGCATCTCAGCTCACTGCAGCCTCTATCTCCTGGGCTCAGGTGATGTTCCCACTTCTGCCTCCTGAGTAGCTGGAATTATAGGCATGTGTCATCAAGTCCAACTAATTTTTTTTTTTTTGGTAGAGATAGGGTTTTGCCATGTTGCTTAGGCTGGTTTCAAACTCTTGGGCTCAAGTGATCTGCCCACCCCAACCTCCCAAAGTGCTGGGATTATAGGCATAAGCCACTGTGCCCAGCCTATTTGCAAAATTCTTTATTTTCTTCCTTCCTTCCTTTTTTCTCCCTCCACCCCTCCCTTTCTCCCTTCCTCCCTCCCTCCTTCCCTCCTTCCTTCCTCCTTTCCTTTCTTGTCCCTTCCTTTTCCTTTCCCTCCCTCCCTTCTTCCTTCCCTCCCTCCCTCCCTTCCTTTCCTTTCCCTTCCCTCCCTCCCTCCCTCCCTCCCTCCCTCCCTCC